TATCTGGGAGAGGTGCAGAATCCATCCTGTCACTGTATATATTTGGTGCTGATTCGATAAACAAAGATTTAGTTGGTTATCAATCTCTCCCTCCATCCATCCAACTAATTTAGCTTACAATACTATCGCTCTGTTACCCCACACTGTTGTGTGATTGTCTCCAAGTTATTCTAATCGAACTTGGTCAACTACTTTCACCTATGCATTTCATTTCATAATCATTGCTAGGGATTTGGTAAACTAAATTATTTTGAATTGTTGTATCGACAGGATCTTTTAACCTACAAAGCTGTTTCTAAACGAGTTTGTTCGTTTAAATACCAGCCACTTTAACCCCAGCCGGCGTCATTGAGAATTCAACGTAATGCTTCTGAGATGCCTTCCTTTTATGGTAACACAACACAGGCTTTGAATTCGCTCTTAACCCTGTTGCCACTATTACCATTAGTAGTACAATCATTACTCATAACACTTGTATTACTACTACTGATACTACCACCATTGTGAATGTTTGTTTTTTCGATTTCTCATGAATTTACTCATGAATGTAGGTTGGTAATTATTGAGACTTAGGGTATTCTTGATGTGTCTAACTTCTTGTAGTACATTTTCTGGTCTACTGGTAAGTTTTTTCGTCGTATCGCAAATGAATTTAACTAAGGCTACTTTAACTGAAATGGTGTGGGATGATTCGAAGTCTAAGTAGCCATTCAAATGGGAAAGTTTCCTACAGACACTAATCTCTAAACTTTCGTCTTATGTTCGTTTAATCTTGCAATCCAACATTGCTAGCTGAGCCTCATCACTTTCTAGGTGAGTGGTGAACTGGATTGCATTCACTACTGAATTTATATGTGCCAAGAACCTATTGATGTGTTCCAATTTCAGTACTGTAAAATACATCATTTACACATGAAAACTATATCCTTTTAGGGGGTCTAAATATTTGAAGGGCCATCTGTTCATAACTATCCATTAATATGTCTGAGATGATAGGGGATATTGGTGATCCCATGGCTCAGCTATAGCTCTGCATGCAATTACACACAATCACACAACAGTGTGGGGTAACAGAGCGATAGTATTGTAAGCTAAATTAGTTGGATGGATGGAGGGAGAGATTGATAACCAACTAAATCTTTGTTTATCGAATCAGCACCAAATATATACAGTGACAGGATGGATTCTGCACCTCTCCCAGATATATATGGAATATGCTATTACCCTTGCAATCACAAAGAAGGCGAGAAAATGAGGACTCTATAAACTGTGTCTTAAAGTTGTAGAGTTAGTCAAATGATTTGAATATGGACAATAAATTGTGTCCGAAAGGTACGTTATACACTAAACGATAATATTCCTTCACTCTGTGTGACATATCCAATAAACGGACTAAAATGAAAATGGAGGTGCCACCTGACTTAATTCTTGATGAATATGGAATAAATGTCTTTGTATCACAGTATCATTATGGCGTTAGTAAAACATTCGTTTTTAAATGGAACGGAATTCCGCATGTTTTGACTCATGAAGTAACGGTGTGAACCACAGTGTCACGTTGGTATTCGACATCCAGATAAGTGTAGCAACCCTTAACGTGTTGGTTTGTAGTTGAATCCATAGTTTCATCCAATTTGGTACTAGTAAGCTGGGTATACCTGGGAAGTAAGATCAACCCCAGTGGGTTAGTTGTCGATGAGATTTCTGCACGGATACAAAAGGCTCGATTGGCTTTCGCCAATTTGCGCCACCTATGGCGCCACCGTCATATCCATTTGTCTATTAAGGGTCTTGTGTACTGCACAGCAGTCCAGTCTGTTCTACTGTATGGCTGTGAAACATGGCCATTGAAAGTGGAAGATATAAAAAGGCTTCAAGTGTTTGACCACCATTGCCTTCGTAGTATAGGCCGTATTCCGTGGTGTCACCATATGAATAATACAGAAGTCAGGTGTAGAGTTTTAGGGAGAAGAGGTAAATCAGTTGACGAGGTTATAAACCTTCATCGACTGAGATGGTTGGCTCTGACACGTACTGCGAATGCCTAGTCACCGATTGCCTCGTCACACAGTGTTGGCTGAGGTGGGTCCAGGCTGGAAAAAGGTCCGAGGTGGCCAGACTAAAACATGGCACCAATGTATGAAGTCTCTGACTGTTGGTTTAAGCCATGTAGGACGATGCAGACTAGGTTGTTGGGGTCCACAGGACAAAAGGAACCAGTGGTTGGAGACTGACTATAGGTGACGAGATGTCTGAGAACCGAAGTCAGTGGCGCAGATGTATACACATATTAACCTCATCTTAACTACACTATACCGAATCTCACCATTTTGTCACTCCTATTTCCTTTCTTCTCGTACTTTATATTTCTTTTGACTACATTCTCTTATCTTCATCCTTCACCTCACTACCTTTCTACTTGATGAACTGAAGTGAGGTGTGGCAACTCGGAGTGTTACTCAGTAATGCCTGATCCTATGTTGATAATGGTGGTGATGATGATGATAGTGAGTGACGGTTCCCCTACTGTGACTGCAGCCAAGTGGATAGGGCTCTGGTGATTAAAGCAATGGGTCCCAAATTTGAGTCTCATTGAGAACATGATAAAACACTGGGATGCGGTTGGACGCAGCTGAAGAGTCCTATCTACAACAAAACACCGTTAAGCATCTCTTATATCATAACAAACGACTAATATCCCTATGAGGAACTAATTCAACCTTGTGAGCTTAAAAAGTTATTTTTCACAATATCAGCTAACTTGCGTACGGTTTTGGCATCAGACTACATGACTGGGCACTAGTGCAAGGCAATTAGAAGCTGCAAAGTAATCAATTTCCTGCTCGATAGAATTCCGTAAGCGCTCAGAAATCTACAACATGGGGTTGGTTATTCTCTAGTGACTAGACAATGTATCCAATACAGTCCAACAGTAAGTTAATCACGGCTTGAGAGGCACAGTAGTAATGTCTCTGACTGCAGCAATGAGTCACCTAGATTAGAGTTTCGTAGGCCACATAAATTAGTTCCTTCAAGGTGCTAAATGGAAACAACCATGAAACCTAGGTCACGTAGAACTTCCTGTCAACTACCAGCAACAAAGTAACATCTTTGACGTTTCTGTTAGCATACGGACTTCTAGAATGACAGTGAATGACAATATACGGATAATGAGGGAAAGATAAAAGAAATCACGATTATGATCCGATTGCTAACTGCATAATGTTGCTTTTCAAGCTTCTTTCCAACTCCTTTATTCCTGATTATCGTCAGAAAAACATTCTTATGAGTGAAGTACATGATTCTGTCGCCTGAGGACGGAAGGACAGATCATTTTCATATGTCATCAACTGCAACAGGTATGGTAATTACATGTCTTGTGCTCGATTAATAAAACGTTGGGAGTAGGAACCGGTAACCAATCACAGATAGGTGAAGGTCAGACCAATAGGTCATGTGTGCAAAAAAATTGTATTCAGCTTAAACCACGTGGTTTTAGTCATAAGAGAAAGAAGGAAATAACGGACTAGTTAACAGTCAGTCAGTGTGAGAATTAGCTGATAGGTTCACTTGTTAAAAAAAATTACATCTGAGGTTGAGAAGCGAGCATAGAATGGCAGTCAACCCTCTAACTCAACTTCATCGACTCGAAAAAGGCCTTTGATAGCGTCGACGGTGAAGTAATTTGGCAGCTACTTCAACACTACGGAATACCACAAACCTTTATCAATCTCATCCAGCAACTAGATGAAGACGCCACATGCCAAGTAATTCACAATAGGAAGCTCAGTGATCCCTTTGAAGTGAAGATAGGAGTAAGACAAGGCTGTCTACTATCACCCATGATCTTCATGATTCTGATTGTGGTGGACTGGATCATGCAGCAAACAAAGAGGAGCGAGAAGGAGGGGTTACGCTGAACCGGAGAAAAGATCGTAGAAGAAGATTCGGATTTCGCCGATGAATTGTGTCTAATGTTACACAAACTTGAAGATCTACAAGCGAAAACTGACAAGTTGACAGCAGAGGCAGAGAAGGAAGACGGGATTTGAAGTAAACGTAGAGAAGACAGAGGTGATGATGAGATCCAATAAACGCCAACAACAACAATAAACACCAATCACCATGAGAGAATTGGCGCGTTACGAAAAGCATTTCCAACAAACTACAGATATTCATTAACAACTGCCTACGCTGGCTTGTTACTGAAGATCAGATGGCTAGAATAATAAGAATAGGCAACAAGGAACTCTGGCTGTCTGGCATCGGACCAACCAAGAAGCAACCTATCACTCGACAAATATGCAGAAGAAGGAAATGGAGATGAATTGGATTGGACATGCACTGAGAAGATCATTCAGGACATCATGCTACTGGCCAGGTACTCGAGTGGAACCTAAGTGGGAAACGATGAGTTGGGCGTCTGAACCGAGGGAGACATGCTGTAGATTGTGTGAGGAAGAAATGAGAGGTTGTGGGCTGTCATGCAGCCAGGTTGAAAAGATTTCAGAGAAGAAAGTGTAATGGAGACGTGCTACTGAAGCGGTATTTTCCACTAGGGAACGAAAGGACAAATAATAATAATAATAATTGAGAAGCACCCTAAATGTGGTATAAATTTAATTTCTAGGAGTTTTTAGGGATTTAGAAATATTTCAAGTTGATATTCATCGTAGACCGACATCAGTTGGACGGACAATAGTGCGCATCCACGATCTCGCCAGAGAACTGACAGAAGTTGAAAATATGGACCATTGGATTGTGATCCAGTAGCTCAATGGTAACGTGCTGGCCACGAAACCTGAAGGTCTCAGGTTCCACCTCTGGCAGGGTTGTGGGTGCACACTGCTTAGGAGTCCCATGCTAGGAAGAAACAGCTGTTCAGTGCTCCCAGGTTTCTATTATTCTTCCAACTGACATCAGTCTACGATGTATACATTTATCAATTACAAAAATTTAAATGATATATATATATATATATAGCTAGTAAATTTATATACCTCTGCGTAATTCTTGTCTTTCAAGTAAAAATTTCCACTCCATTTCAGCGATAGAATTTCTTGAATCCATTGTACAACAATAAAATCGTTCTGCCAGTTCATTTTTAATCTGTTGAACATCATGTCCAAATTTGGTTAAACCTTTATCATTATTATTATTATTATTATTATTATTATTATTATTATTCAATGTATATTCACTTTTACTAAGATGTTTTCGTGAACCAATACTTGAATGTATTTTCTCTGATTGAATTTTGTTTACATTTGAAATATTATTTAAAGATGGTGATGTTGATGATGATAATAGAGAGGATACTGTTGGTAGCTGAGTAGATATATTTCCTGGTAATTCATCATTATGTTCAGATTGTAAATCATTCAATGAGATAATTGAACTCCTTTTATCACTTAAAACATTAAGATGAGTAACACTATGCGATTTGTTTTGATATAATCTCTTTAAATTCTTTTTCTCTAATCTCTAGATAAAAAATGGAATAAAGTGAGTGTACTTTATGTTGAAATCGTTTTTCAAGGTTATCATAAAGGTTAATAATAATGGTCTTATTCTGTAAACTATTTCGTCAATGTCCTACAGAATTATCAGCACATCATATAGTATCAATTGGAAAGAGACAGTTTATATGTATACATTATTATTTGTAATTTAATAATTCCCATTGTAACATTAAGAACAAGATATTCAGCGAAGAGACTCTTTTCAACGAATTTATTTTCAAGCTGTACAATCGTATATATATGGTATTTGAAAAAATTATATTTCTTGAGGAAAACTAAACACCACATGATGATGATGATAACAGTAATAATAGAACGGATGATGACATAGGCATTTGTTAATGATGAATCGTGGCTAACAGTGTAATCTAGGATGCGCATTTCATCCTATTTGGGACTCGTTAGCTGGATGTACCTGCTTCCCAGTGAGTGATGTTGTTCGCACAAGAAATGGCTATCGTGGCTCCATGATGTAGTGGATAACCTGCTGGCGTTTGAAGCGATCCCTCCCGAGTCCGAGTCCCGGTGCGAACAACATCACTTACTGGGAGGCAGGTACATCCAGCTGACGAGTCCCAAGTAGGATGAAATGCGCATCCTGGATTCCACTGCTAGCCACGATCCATCATTAACATAATTAGATTGCTGGCAATATCGAGGCATCCGCACAGGAGCTCAAATACCAACACAGACCGATCAATTCGGTCCAATCAACGACGGTATCATATAAAAACCCTTATAGTAATAGGCATTTGTGATTATAATAACAATTGAAGTGTGAATGATAACGAATGAATTATGTAATATATATGGAATGGTACATAGAGAGTATATAACTCAGAGGGGGGTGAAAAAAATTGTTGAAAATGGTAAATCAATTAAGTATCGTGTAATGGCATTAGACAAATTGGACAAGATGAAGTCAATGTTTTCTAAAAGGATTAAGACAATTAAGTGAAACAACACCGGAAACTAATTAAAGTGAAGGTGATTATAATAACAATAATAGTGATAAAGGAAGGATACAAAGGTTAAATTAACAAAGTGGGAGGGGGAGCTGATGGGGTGGGAAAATGTTATGGCCATGACAAAGACAGTGACTGTACATACTTCTTTTGTACACATAGATCAGGTCTTAGTTCATGAATAGCTAAAGCCTCCGCTGTTTTAAGTAGTTGAAAACGAAGAGAACGTGGGAGGTTTGGGCGAATTTGATAAAAGTCATCGTCTGGATTTGTTGTGTGATCAAAGTCAATCAATTTGTTCTAGAATCGAACTTCTAACAGACTTTCTTTCACCTTTATAAAACCAAGCAGGAACATGTTCTCGTATACATGTAGAAACATTCTGTGGCTACGGACGATGTACCTTGCTCCACAAGAGCAGGTGAACTGGTAGATGCACATAGGGGTGGCCAAACGAGGAAGCTTGTCTTTGACGCAGGTGGAGAATAAGTTGCGGCTGGTAAAAGTCTCACTATGTACTCTCTATGTACCATTCCATATATTACATAATCTATTTGTTATCATTCGCACTTCAATTGTTATTACAATCATAAATGCCTATGTCATCACCCGCTCTATTATTATTGTCATCACCATATAGTGTTTAGTTTTCCTCATGGGATATAATTTTTTCCAAATACCATATATATACGATTGTACAGCTTGAAAATAAATTCGTTGAAAAGAGTCTCTTCGCTGAATATCTTGTTCTTAATTATTATTTGTCCCTCATGTTCCGAGTGGAACATAGGGCTTCAGTAACACGTCTCCATTACATTCTCTTCTCTGAAATCTTTTCAACCTGGCTGCATGACAGCCCACAACCTCTCATTTCTTCCTCACACGATCTCCTATATGTCACCCTCAACTCGGACGCCCAACTCGTAGTTTCCCCTTTATATTCCACTGGCCTGTCGCGTGATCTCCCTGAATGGTCTTCTCAGTGTATGCCTAATCCATCTCCACTCCCTTCCAATGGATATTTCTTGAGTGATAGGTTCTTGGTTGGTTCGGCCAATCGGCTTCCTAAAGACTTTCACCAGATTCCAGTGAGGAGTAATTTTTTTTTCTGTTTTATATTTTGTCTCTGCTTTGAAGTTTCTGTAGCGGTTGGATTGGCTTTACATGGTAGGGTTTCTAGCCCTATGCGCAACCTTTCCTCTTTACCTGGGCTTATGACCGGCTACAATAATACATAAATAATAACATGCTCATCATCATCTTCAGTTAGTTTGCTTTCAAAAACAGAAGTTGACTAGTTACTTCATCTATGATGCTTTCTTCATCGCACAGGAGATCAGCTAAATACGTACGGTATTGTAGAGTATTTACATTCTATAGTATGTGCATAGAACCTAATGTACTTGCTCCTTGCCTTTCCAGATGACCGACACACAAACAGCTTCGAGTGAACAGGATGTTGGTCATCTGATAAAATAACTCCCCCAATGGTGCTTACATGAGTGAATATGTTTGTCCACCACAGTTTTAATTAGAAGGCTTAGGGGTACACCACTACTAGTTCTGATGATAATCTTCAAAGTTCTACACGATACAGCATAGTCTGTTTCAGAAACATGGGAAAGAATAAAGGAGAATCGACTAGATGCAGGAGTTTATAAAACACACGATGAGAGGCTGAGTTATACTATATACATGTAGCATCCTAATATGGAAAGTTAGGCGGGAAATTCTTTTGGAAATTAGTTAGATATGAGAGGATGAGGAAGGGTCCGGAGAAATCGATACACCAAGATAAATCATACTTGTAACATTCCCTAATACTCGCCCATTAATAGAACAGGGATCATGAGAACTAAGCAGTTCACATAGGTTATGTTCACGTGTGAAACTAAAGTTTATGGTGTGACATTTAGAAGAATTAAGCATAAGATCATTCACACAGGACAATCGTCTAACAGAAGATAGCAAACCATTCTGTTCGGAGCGATCTGTTGAAGAGGAGACAGATGTGAAAACTGTAGGATTAATAGCATATGTGATGAAATTTATCCTAACTGGAGATGGTAAGTCATGGGGAAAGAAAGAGAAAAGATAGGAGGAAAGGACAGCTCTTTGGCAAACACCAGTCATAGTAAGCAATGAGTTGGAGCGATTACCTTTGTATGTTGTTTCCTTTCAGAGAAATAGGAATGCTGCCAGCTGATTATCTGGGACTCAGTATTAGTCCAGTGTAGCATGTCCAGTAAAACAGGTCTTGGGATATAATCGAATAGGAAAGTGTAGTCGGAAAAGGCACGCCTGACATACTTGGCATTTCTATCACGATTATAAGCAATATTGTGTTATAAGAGAGTGGTGGCATTCAAAGTGCAGGTTCATAGTATTATTACTATTATTATTGTTTTGACTATCTGGGATAGCCGTATTTTGGCAGACTAGTATTTACACTGGGTGATGATTGAAAGTGAAGCGAAAATTTGAACCCCAGCTGGATTGGAAACAACAACCACTGGGTTCCCGACTCGATGCTCTACCTGGCTAGGCAACCAATGTGAGCGATAGAAACGCATCATGAATTCAAATGGTAGTCAGGTAGAACCCTTGGTGATTGATGAAATGAAATAAAAATCTAGTTAGCAGTCGGAATTCATAGGTCAGTCGGTAAAGCATTGTGTCAGAAATCCAATGGCCGCTGGTTTGAATCATTACCCAGTATCAATAATATTTTTAATATTCTGAGTAATGATTTTCAGTCTAAAGTTGACTATTACCACTTTGACTGTGGGATATATCAACCCGTATAATCACAGATTTTCTGAAGAAGTTCAAAATAATTTGATGGAAATTACTTTTCTTGTGAAATACAAACGATTACTTCTCAGTGTTCAGTTACTTTTCAATTACTTTTCAATTAAATTGAAGAGGATACTGAAAAGCTGGTCACAGATTCGTACCCTAGGTAATAATCTGTCTTATCTGTAGTCTAAGGGATTGTAATACTACAACTTAGCACCAAAATACTGCATTATGTAGAGTATAGTTAAGAGAATTTAAACGTCATCCTAGCAGACGCTGAAGAAATCAATTACGCTTTGGTATTTCTTCTGGAAAATTACTTTTGGGTTCTTAGTGGAACATAGGGCTTCAGTAGCACGCCTCCATTTCACTCTCTTCTCTCCAGTCTTCTCAACCTGACTACACAACTGCCCACAAGCTTTCATTTCTTCCTCACACAATCTCCTACATGTCACCCTCGACTCAGACGCCCAAGTCGTCGTTTCCTATTTGGGTCCCACTCGACGGCCTGACATAAAGCGTGATGTCCCCAAACCATCTTCTCAAAGTATCTCCAATCCATCTCCACTTTCTTTCTCTGTATACACGTTGGATGATAGCTTCTTGATTGATTGGTTGGTTAGTTGACAGCCACAGTTCCCTGTTGATTCTTGTTTTTCACCATCTCATCTCCAGTATCGAGTGAGTGTAGGTGGCAGCTGTTCATGATGTATGTGTGCAGTTTGTTGGAGATGCTTTTCATAACGCGCCACCAAATCTCTCAACCATCACATAGAAGTGCTGACTTACTTGATTGACATTAGTGTTGAAAATCGGGATGTTGTTCACACTATATTCTGAGTAGAGTAGAGTAGAGTAGAGTAGAGTGGAGTGAGTGCAGTGCAGTAGATCTCCACATTAATTTCATATTAAGAGAGGAAGGCGTGTCTTGCTGTCTTTTCGATCCTGGTTTCAACATCCTCATCTATTCCATCGCTTGCATTTGAAACGATGCCGTCTGGGCAGGTAGGTGAAACAGATAACTTCCTTTACGTCTCTCTTGTTGATGGTGATTGGTGCTTGTTGTTGTTGTTGTTGTTGGTTGGGTATGTTCATCATCTCCATCTTCTCCATGTTTACCTGAAGGAAGTCCCATCTCCCTTCACTGACTCGCTTCACCTCTTCTGCCAACTTGTTGATTTTCTCCTGTAGATCTTCG